CAATCCAATATAGCAGTGTTTCCTCTGTGCTAAAGTGAGACAGATGAGCGGTTGACGAGCTGCAAAATACCTAAGGGCCTGAATTCACTACGAAAAGCAAAATGCTTTGGGACGTGGGCGGTTTTCTGTTCGGCCAATCAAAGGTGGCCGCTTTCCATTGGCAAGGATGAGATCATCCAAGCCACATTTGTCACTGACATTAAGGTTGTCTTGTCTTCTTGCAAGGTGCCAGGACTGTTGTCGGCAGTAAAGCGATGACGAATGCCAAAAAGGTCATCTGTTGCAAAGCTCAGCAAGCCATGGAAAAATCCCTCTCCGTAGCACAACCCATATTGCCCCGTCCTGACCGAGAGGTTTGCAGCAAACCTTGGCTCTGACGCTGCAAAGGGAGAATGTGAGGGCGGTCCTGCGTCGGATGTGTGCTCCTTTCCTTCGCCCTGAACCTTGCTGAGGATATTCTGCCATTCCCTTTCGCTGCACACATGGTCACCATGCTTCTGATATGGTCAGTCTTCTTCCCGGCAATTTGGATAGCCATGATGGAAGTGGCGATGGAGTTCATTCTCGCTCAGTCTCGTGAGTTCTTGCCTTGACGAGAGGAGGCCCCACCCCATTCTGTTCATTGCAACCTCCAACCCTGAGGTCAGTCAATTAGCAATGATTGTGCTTTCTGTTTGGGCGTTACCCTTGGCCAAAGTTGTCAGCCGCAGTGGCAAGCCTAGACCAGCGGAGAGCAAATCGACCATGCTCCTGCAGAATGGTTTACCTATTGGATGTTGGGAAGAGTTCCCCGAAGAATTGACCGCAGAGGTGCAAGAATGAGTGAGGAAGAGCGAAAGAAGTGTTTCAAAAGGAGAGAGATCTTGCAATCGGTGTTGAGCATTCTTGAACAACGACCGGGTGAAGTTGCCCGGAGGCGAGCTCACAACTTTTGCAGATCTATGACAGATCTTTCTGTAGATGAGGAAACCGAAGGTGGAGAAGAAGCACCAGAGCTGGAAGAACCAGAAGCAGAGAACGAAAGAAGTGAAAGGATTTAGGGAAGAAAGTGATGCAAGAGATGGCTGTTTTTTCTTCGATCAAATCGCCTGGAAGGAATTTTGGGAGCAGTTCTTCAAGTGCATTTCCAGTGCAAGTGCAATTTCCCGACCAGATCGAGGTATGGAAGCGTTGGAAGAGCAAGAAGAAGATGAGGGAGACAATGATGTGGTTGCATATGATTCCTGACATAGGTTATGTGTCTGGAGTAGCGCAAGGCATGTTTCTCCAACTGTTCGAGTGTGAACCATGTTCCGGCAAGCAGAGAGTCGCCACTTTCGTCTTCGTCGACTGCGATTTTGTGAGCCTACCGGGATGGAAGCCTCAGTTCCTCGTCTGCGGGAGCTGGAACCCAGCCAATCTTGTGCAAAGATGGCGTCAGTACCATGCTAGGATAGGTCTCAGTTTCACCAGTTTCACACGGGCCTTGCATGTTGAAGGACAGTGACCGCCGAATAAGTGTCCAACTGAAGAGTGAACACCCCCAGTGCTCCCCTTGCTCAACACTGCCGCACTCAAGACACGTCACCATGGCTTTGCTGGACCACTTGCGCTTTTAAGCTGCGTGTCTGGCCCAGCTTTCAGGGGAGGCTTTTGTTCATGGGCATGGTTTTGCGGTGTACAGCCTTTTGTGTGTAGAGGCTTTGAGGTTGACTTGCTGTCTATTGTTTGTGGGTTGTTTTCAACACGCACTTCCTCTCTGAACCCATTTTGCTTGAAAGCTTGGCATGCACACAGCATTTGGTCGACGAGTTGGAAGGTGAGATTGTAGAAAAAACATGCAGAGGACAGCGCAAAAAAATCAAGATGCAAAGAAACTTTTATCCGGCAACAGAGGAGATATGAAAATGGCGCTTGTGATGTTGATCAGCCTGATCACAGGAACTGATCAAGTGAAAACAGCTGAGAACAATGGCTTGACTACGCAGTGACGACGCTATGTCATGTTGAGCATGCTTGTGCTTAATGTTGTGGGTATCGGCATGTGGAATCTTTTTCCAGTGGACGACAAAAGAAAAAGCGAACAAGGAGAGCAAAAAAGAGGCAACCCAAATGTGCCAGACAAAGGAGGCAAATGACCCCAACATGGTCTTCCACTTGCACCAACAATTGAAGATTTTCATGTGTCAATGACAAACAAATAGAAACAACAATTCGAAGCTTCGAAGCAGAGAGCAAAAAAACGATGGAGGAAAAACTTACGTTCCAGAGACAGCAAAGTGCAGTGTTGTCGTCAACAGTGAGAGAGCATGAACAACGGTGGATCAAGAGGCAAGACACTAGCACAGTCATGACCACCATGTCAATGTAAATTTGACCGTGATATCCAGGTTCGAGTTTGAATGCCAAAACAGCGCGTTGGTTTGTTACAACATTTTTTCTATTCATTTATTACATCCCCGAATCCTTGCGCGACATTCTGCTACCGATTGAAATACAGCCGACTTATCTCGGAGTTTTTCCATACTTAACAACCGTGTTTGTTTTGAAGGGCCATGACTTGCCCATTCTCCCGATGGCACGGGTTTCTTTTCTCCCAGCCCCTTTAATTTGTTTTTCAATTCATTCTGTGGCATCGTCTCCATTCTCTCGTTTTTCTCCTCCTGCAATCTCCTTTCTCTTGGCCTGTTCCCGCACGCCCCATTGAAGACCTTTCCATGCACTTTTACCTGCTACATTGAATTGAAACTTGAACGACCATCAAGCCTTGCGGCGTCATGCCCACACTGCCAAACCCGTTGTGCATTCCCAAGTATCTCGCTTCCGTATGCTTCCATTTTTTTGGCCACAGCATGTTATTCCTTTTCCACATGGTGCCACCTGTCCTTCATTGGACCCAGGGGCCAGGGGTCTGTCGGGCAGCAGTTTAATCTCCAATAGTACATCAGTTTTTTTAGTTTGTGCTCATCTGAAGAGACTTCCAAACAGTCAAACATTGAGGGAGGCGTTGTGAACCTTCCTTGTTCGAAGTAGCAGTCTAGACAAGTGTAGCCAAACAGAGATGCAGCAGGGTCAACCATCAAGAAACTTGAGTTTGTTTATTCAATTTCATGTATATAATTGTTGCAGCAACACGTTCGCCGAACAACTCTTTAGTGAGTTGAGACAGAAATTGTCCCGCATTCAATTAGGCACTTGCGTTGTGGTGTTGGTTTTCTGTCAAAAAGCAAACCAAGCAATCGACATCCTTTTAAAAGGTCTCTTGGTATTGGACTCTAAGAATTTCATGTTTAATTTTGTCCAAGTTGACTCTGAAACTCAGACATGACAATGTTAACACTTCGCCTGGTCTTCGCAAAGCTTTGGCCCTTGGAGAGGTTTATGGTGACCATCGTCCAGTGTCACGGCGCAAAAAAGCACATGACAAATACTACATCCACCGCGGCAAACATATAGTATAGGCATTGGCGAACTTTCTTGATGTGGGAGCTCAACAAATGATTCAAGGACAAACTCATTTAGCATCAGAGTTCTTGACGTTTCAAAGCCCAACTGCAGAGTCCCAAAACAAGAGAATTACGCGGATGTGGTGAACATTTTGCAGCGTCGTGGGGGGGTGCCGTGCAGGCGCAACCCATCATTCTTGCCTGGCACGAGTTGCTTGCGCTCTGGAGTGTTCCTTTTTTGCTTTTTGCATGTGAACAGTTCTGTTTTGGGTGAGGCCTTGTGCCTGCAGCTCCCCATGTCGGCCCCACTGGCAGCAAGTCTTGGCCTTTGAGTTGCAAAGTTGAAACGTAATGATTTGGCATTCCCAGTGCAAGACATGGGTTGATCTTAAACCAGGCATGAACAAAGGCAGCCGGCCACCACCGCGCCCACCCATGCCAGCACAGGCCTTCCGAACTCTCAGTTTTTGAGCGACGTGAAACGTCACATAAACAAAGCAAACTGAAAAAGCAGTTTGGTGAGGACAAAACGTGAGATGTTCTTGCGATTTCAATAAACAGATGAGTCCAAGTACAATTTCAACTCAAATCGTTTTCGGAGGTAGCCTCGGCGCCAAAGGCGCTTCAGGTACCTGTCGCGACCTCAAGTTTAGTCGGATGTATATAAATGTCATGGTGTTTTGAGTCTGTATTGGGCAAAACGTTGTGATTTCCTTCGACACCTTGCCAAGCCTTTTGTCAGGATGCATTTGGCAGCTCCATGGTGAAGTCAGGAACAATCAGGCCACAGTGAATGGTTTTTTGTGAAAGAACGGTCTTCTTGGAAAATCAACCAAATAAGGCATCGCCAACGGTAGTTACCCAGTAGTTGCTTTCAACATTTAGCTTCGTTTCAGACCCCATCGGCCTGGTGCTGTGCCGCCTGCATCCGAGCTTTTGGTTGTGTCAGTCTCCACTTGTACAAAATCTCGGCATGGGTAAGGCCTGGTCCTGGAGGTCTTAGACCGCTTGAATCTGAGACGAATCTAAGACGAATCAAAACGAGCGCGAGTATGGATTGATATCAATTTATATCCTTCTTGCAGTGAAGCTTTATGATTTTCCCTCCAAGGTTTGCTCCAATCCAAGCGCCTCAAGGCACCTTGCGCTTGGTCTATTGTATGGAGTTTGTCACAGTGTGTGCTGAGTGAAAGCAGGTGTCACCAGGGAAATATGTAAGTTAAGTTTCCCTCCAAATCTAGAAACCAAATCATCAGTGCGAGTGCTTCTTCAAGGAAGCTCCCTCCCCTCAGGCGGGGCGAGCCTCCTTGAATAGCGTGTTCGCTATCCTGCGTCCAGTAGGTAGTAGCTTAGTAGCTAGTAGCGAACTAGTCGCCCTAAAACAAAATAGAAATAGGCACGGGGCCCCAGGGGGGCCACGGGCTAAAACCAAATAGGCTCCCGTCCCTTCGCTCGTGGACCTTTTGGCCACAGGCTTTAGGCGGTGGTGACATGGAACAAGAGGTACGCAATGGAACTCACATTGCCGACACATTCCGTGGTGGAACAAGCCCACAGACATCAGCCCATCAGCCTTTGTCGCCTTCCTGTTTAGTGGTGGTCCCTGCCAGATGAAGGCTCTCTAGCCATGCCATGGGGAAGCTTTGTGGCCTGCTGCTGCTGTTCAGATTGCTCTGGCACTGCGATGCCTATACTCAGGTGGGTGCCTCAAATGGGAACTCAAGAGAAATCCCCTTTCTGGGCCTCTTGAAGCTCAGGCGGAATCGATCACTGGCGTTATGGCCACAATGTCGGAATTGTCGATCTTGCCGCTTGGTCGACCGGTTCCGTGAGTGAGTCAATGGTCGACTCTAGAGAGTCGACCGTACCGAGGTACAGCGCAGTGAGAATTGCCAATCTCAACTTTATTCTCGAAGGACGCCGAACGTCGAGTCGCTTCGGGTGCCGAAGACGCTCGATCTCTGGTCCATTCGACTTGCAGAGAAGTGGACTCCGATGGACTCCGGTCTGTTCCAAGGCGGAAACGGCTCGTCCAAGGCTCTCGTAGGCGCTCGTCCAAGGCTCAAACGTTATTTTTTCCACTCGAAGGAGTTGGGCCCTTTACCGTCTTCGCGCCCACGAATGATGCCTTCCGACTCTTGGGTCCTGGCATCACGGCCACCTTGTAACTTGGCACGTGAGTGACTCGAAGTGACCGAAAAAAAACCGGTTGGAACTTTTGCTATGAAACCAGTGAATGACAGTCAGTGTCGAACTTGAAAGAAATGAATTGATGACCCACACCTAATGAGGACCAAGCTGGAGAACACGGCTTATTTGACGCAGGCATGATGGCGACTGGCGGTGAACATTTTTGGCAACCTAACAAGAGAGTACCAGAAGCTATTTATGTTCTTTGGAGATTTTTTGAGTGGATCTATTCCTAATTGTGGCACAGCTTTCCACAGGTCTTGCAGTACCATGTTTGTTATGGAGATACGCCTAGCCAGCAGCTCTTGCAAGGGCAGGACGGCGAACGAGTAGCAGTTGACAGTATTCCAGCTTTCGCATACTTGACATGATGCGGTTGCCCAGGACTTGTCGACATTTCAGGATGCACTCTCAGACTTGATGACTTGATGTTTGATCTCCTTTTTCTTTGAATGCTTTGTGCCCATTGCACAGCAGCAGCCTCTGCAGGGTGACACTCTCTCAGTGACGTCGATAACACCCTTCGTAGTGAACCAGAGCTGAAGAAGACAGTTGTGAATACAGAGTGAACTGGGCGAATAGGTTGGAGGCCATTGCTAGTAGGTTGGAGGCCATTCCTATTAGGTTGGAGGTCATCGCAATTAGGTTGTGCACATCTGAGGAATGATATCCCCATCTCTCGACAAGATCTTTCTGCCGCAAATGGCTTGATTCACACTATCCGGGAAGTGCCTCGATGTGATAGGGTTTCCGAAAGCCTGATAGATTATGAACACATGCTCTTCAATGGCTCTTGTCTTTGTTATTTGAGTACAAATTCCTTGGGTGCTACACTACAAGTATATGTCTTGATTGCTACAGAAAGAAGCTCCTACCATATTACCATATCATATTCTCAAAATGACATCAACAAAAACTTAAGTATATACATTGAGCAGCGTAGGTTCTGGGATAGAATCATTTGTTCTGTTGCTGGCCGAGCGCGAGAGAGAGAGAGAGAGAGAAGTATAGTGGTTTCTTTTTGTGCCGACCTTGACACAATCGCGACAAAGTCATCACAGAGTCGTGGCAGAATCCAATTCAATGAAGGCGATCGATTGTGGCTGTTATTTTCCTGCGATTGATACTCACGCATTTATTTCTTCATGGGCTGCCAAACCAGCCACAGACCCACTCTCCACTACTCCATCCCTCGTCACAAGCCTGTCGGACGTTCTTTTTTGCTCAAGCATACCCATACTTTATCAGCAACCTCCAAGTCATAGAAGCTTGTTCTTTTGTTGAAAGACGAGTTTGTTCTTGGCAAAGCTGAACCAGCACCGGAACAGTTGCCGTGGCTATGGTCATGCAGTTGGTATTCTCAGAATGTGCTGGCATGCTTTGCCCTCTTTGGCAAGTCTCCCGAAGACGTTTGCACCTGCATAACAAGTGTTGGCCTGGCGCGAATGCTTCCTCTTCAACCCTGTGATGTATAATGATAATGCTTTGCCTCGTGTTCATACGAAGGCTCATAGGGTGGGAATTTGCAGGGAGACTACTTTTCTTCCCACCAGTGACCTGTTTATCCTTCTTGTATCGAGGGCACGGGGCTTGATGCACTCTCCCTATTCGTGTGTTTATGTGCCCATATGTCTGAGCCTGAACTGTACAAGGTGATGATGCCCCCCAATTTTCAGCTTCCAGCTCCTACCATGAGCCTCGTATTTCAGTTGCACAGAGAGGACAGTCAGCATGCGTTTCTCTATTTGTGGTGCAGAGTGGGTATGAGCTGTCGCGTTCAGGTGGAACTGGTCAAGAGCGAGTCGTACCTCTCAAGCCTAGCACAGGTGACTTTACGGGGAGGGTCAGTCTACTGCAGGGGACGGACTGATTGCCACGCAGCCCACGCAGGCCATAGAGCAAACTGGTCTGGAATCTGCTCTTAGCGAATCGCCCTTGACAGTTGCCTTGTTTGCATTTACTGTAATTGTTGCAACAATGTGGATTTGCCTTTTTCCATTTTCATGTTGCAATCCACATTGTTGCGATTGGCATGAGGATTTTCAGGTCCGGAGTCCGGATTGCCCAAGGTCTTGATGCCCACGAACGAAGCCTTTACTAATCTGGGCAATGGTATCCTGGAGTCGCTGCTTTTGCCTCCGAACCTCGACAAGCTTCGGCAGGCCGGCGCGAAGCAACATGTTTCGTCGGATTCATCTTGAGGGATTGTACTTTTGTGAAGACCACAAGCTATTTCCAGACAGGTGAGTTGGCATAGTGTGAGTGGCAAGCATTAGTTTCAGAGAAAAGCAAAGTGCCAATAGAATACGAACACAATGTGACAATTCCATTGGGGCCAAATTCATCCAACCTGCAGCTTTTTGTGAGCTGAAAGAAGGGACTGCCAGAACTTGGCGGATTCCGCCTGCATGGTTGGCACGGCTCTTTCTCAGGTTGTGCTGCACCATGTGCTTGATGGCAATCAGGTACGGCACTATCTTGCTCGTTCAACAGTGGGAGATTTTAACACACACACACATGGCTGTGCTGTTCTGCAGGACACCACAAAATTAGCAGCTGGAAATACCATGATGACCAAAGCAGGAGGCGTGGAGTCTGCACTTCACGACCTTGGGAACTCACACCCCCGCCGGATGTGGCCTCACAGGTCAAATACTGATCACGCAGCCACTTAACTGCAAAGAAGACCAACAGTTTCCCATGCACCCTGGTCTGCACGACGGCCCTTTGCCGCAGGACCAGTCCGCTCAAGGCTGGACATCACCGGGCTGGCAGCGTTCAACCTACTTGAGTGATGGAACATTCATTGCTTTGGAAGAATCTCTTTTTGCCCAGCTGGTTCTTCAGATTCCGCAGGTAGATTCTTTGTCTATGGCCATCAGTACCGATGTGCCCGCGACAAATGGTGTGCTTCACGTGGTCGACACAGTGATATTGCCATCTGGCTTGCTGCCTAGACCTGGTGAACTTATGCAAGTTTAAGTCGACCGAGTGTGTCTTTCTTTCTTGCGAAACGGTGCAAAGAGGATTTGTCTATCCGGACAAGAATCTGCTACAACTCGTGCTGTGCTCAGAGTATGAGCCAAGGGAATCCAATCTTGTCATTCGATCTTGATGTGTGTAGGTAGAATCCATCCAGAGCCCAGGTGGAGGGCAGTCCATCCTTATCCATTTTTGCAGCTGCCATCCGGGCAGCCGGTCTTGAATCGACCTTGTCCGGAAGATTTTCAGGCCACGGCATGAGTGCAGACGAAATGTGCTGCGAACTTTATTGCCCTGGTTTGCCGCAATTGGTTTTTGTTGTCTGGAACTTGAGGCGATTCTCGGTATACAATGTTTGCACCCACCAATGATGCATTCGAAGCTCTCGGCATCGGTGTTGCAAGCTCTTTGCTGATGCCAGCGAATGAGGCGCAGTCGGATTTCTGTTTGTGGTCGGTGATCCGTCAAGTGTGCCAGTGATCCATAAGGTGAAGCTCCGTCAAGTTCTGCGGTATCATCTCCTTTCAGGCCCTTGTTTTTGCTTGCTTGATACTCGAAATCCCTTGAAACTACAAGAGAAATTGGACTAACTTCTGAGAAAGTTCAATTTTCCTCAGGTCTCAAGACACGTTCAAAACAAAACAACAATAGCTTCAACTGCTTCTCTTTGATGTAGCTCACTCAAGGTGCTTTCCAAAGCTTCGAGTTCACTGCCAATGTGCCAGTGCAAACTTTGGAGCAGAGTTTGGTCAAGATTGGCTGCTGGGCATTGTGTGTTAGACACATTTTGTCGATTCCGACAGAACAACAGCGGTTTGAGTGGGTTCTTGTGGATTCCCGTCCTCCTGAGGTTCTGTACGGCCTCTTGTAGTAGATAACGCCCGAGCACTGTCGACGGATGTCCCCGTCACGGGCTCAAGACGAAAGCAGTGCAGACGGTGCAGACGGTGTTGGCGCTGCCACTGTCACTTAAGACTGGATTCCGGGCTGTCTTCAGGCAACCAACGGCATTATACATATGCTTTCAGGTGTTCTCCTACCGCTGCTGAGTTGCATTCATTTGGTCAATCCAGGGTCCATTCTTCTCGGAGTTGTTTTGCACAACTAAGGGTTGGTTTTAGATTTCCAGACAAGAACGTAATGCTACTCGGCAGCAAGGATGCCGGAGAGCAGCAGTTTCATGTCGTGCATGAAGGGCTTTGTTCTCGTTTCCGTTCATGCAGGCAGCTGGCAGACAGCACAGACTCTTTGTCTACATTCAACTCCTTGGTGCAACTGGCCGGATTGACAGAGACGCTGGCCAACACTGGCCGGACCCTCACAAGCAGGAACACACGTTCAGTAGGAGGTTGGCACCGGTGACACCACTGCACTCCACTCTTCAAGGTGGGTTTAGAAAGAGGTACGTAGAAGGCCCCTTTCCAGAGATCCTCCTTTTAAAACTCGCTCGGTCCTGTGCTATTTTGTTGGTGGGCAAGGCTTGAGCCTATTGAGACTAACAAATCCCTCTTGAAACCATTCATGCAGCCTGACCCTGTCTCGACTTTCCAAAGGTCCCTACACCATCTTCGCTCCAACCAATGCAGCTTTTGCCTTATTGGGGGAAGACACTTTGCAGGCAAGGGGGAGTTGCTTTGTTCTGATTTGGCCAACAGCTGGCTTACGTTTCTTTGAGGGGTTGAAGAGTTATGAACGCCATAATCCAAGCTTGGCCTGGAGGAGTTGCGGCAGAGCGACAAACGTGAACTGCTGCAGATCTTGAAATACCATGTGCCTTAGAGCAAACCTGAGCGGCTCCAGTCCTTTCTTTCGGGGCAATTTAATGTAGAAACAATTCAGAGGGTACGAGCTGTGAGCTGAAGGTGATCAATGGGAAGATCGACAGCACACGCTTAAGATATGGCTTTGGCCTTACTGGAAGCTGTTCAAAAGTACTCAAAGTAGTACCATGCACACACGAAAACTTTTTGCAGTGTGAAGAGAGGGTTTTCTTGACCAATTCAACAGCAGCCATCACAATTTTGTGTGAGGTAGAGACATCGCCACCCTGGAGGTGTGTCACCGGGTTTCCTGGTTTCCTGAGAGTGTTTTTGGTTCACTTTCTAGTGCCAAGTGAGATTCCAGAACATGTATAGACTTTTTTTTTTCTTCTCCTCAGAAAGGGTTGCAACAGCGAACGCTGATTGCAGGGTTCCTTCATTACGGTGAAGCCGTGGACGGAACTAGGATGGCAAGGAATTGCATATGAATCGTTTCTTGGTGGCAAAATGATTTCACACCAAGATAGAGCTTGACAGGTCTTTGAGTGAGTCCTCCCCAAGATCGAACCCCGGCTTTGTGACCTAGGCTTCAACCCCCGGTCACCATGAACATGGATGTGGAGGTCTCCACAGAGAATGCTCTTGCGACGACTCTTTGGCTGCAGAGAATGTGCAGAAAAATCGGTCTTCCTTCATGCGATGCAAAAGTTTTTCAGAAGCCATCTGAGCGTTGTCGAGCTTCAGCAAAAGCTGTCGTGGAGTCAACCCTTCCACCTGCAGAAGCTTCCAGGGCCAGGAAGCCCAGACCAAACCCTGATACTCGATGTGCCCACGCTCGCCAAAGTACCGAAATGGCCTATCTAGTGATATATATATATATATACATATACACATACATGTATATAATGATATCGTTAGAGTCGCTTCTCGGACAAACCGATGAATTTCTCTGCATGTTCCAGGAATGGCATTGCGCACTTTGTGAACAAGGTCATTTGTCTCAACTGCTCTCAGCCAACTCGAAACGGGCTGCCTGGTCAAAACTGCACTGAGTCACGAGTCGCTTCAGGTACTTGTTCCTCCCGGTGTTGAACTTGGGACTCCAGCGGAGACTTGGCTAAAGGAAAGGTGCACCATGGCCTCCACCCTAACCTAAGAGCGATGGCCTTCAACCGCTAGCGATGGCCTCCAACCCAATAGCGATGGCCTCCAACCTAATAGCGATGGCCTCCGGCCTAGGAGTGATGCCTCCGGAGTAGGAGCGATGGCCTCCAACCTAACAGCGATGGCCTCCAATCGGACTCCAATCTACTAGCGATGGCCTCCAACCTGAGAGTGATATGGCCTCCAACCTAAGAGCGATGGCCTCCAACCTAAGAGCGATGGCCTCCAACCTAATGGTGATTGCCTCCAACCTAAGAGCGATGGCCTTCAACCTAAGAGCGATGGCCTCCAACCTACTAGCGATGGCCAGCCAACCTACTAGCGATGGCCTCCAACCTACTGGCGATGGCCTCCAACCTACTGGCGATGGCCTCCAACCTAAGAGCGATGGCCTCCAACCTATAATAGCGATGGCCTCCAACCTACACCTATGGCCTCCAACCTACTAGCGTTGGCCTCCAACCTACTAGCAATGGCCTCCAACCTACCCTCCAACCTACTAGCGATGGCCTCCAACCTACTAGCGATGGCCTCC